TTGTACAAAATATTCGGACAGGATAGGGTTATTTAACATTCCCTGTGGGAGAATCTTCCATTGATATCTCTTAACAGGCTAAGAAGTATTGTAAATAGACACCACACCATGAAGGCAAATTTTTCTTTTTCTTGTAAAGGTATAATGAAGAAACACTCTTTTAAATCGATAACTATAAGGTAATCATAATAAGAGAAGAAAAAGGAGTTCCAGACTGTAGAGAGCCCATTGGATGAATCACCTCATTAACAGCTCTTAGATCTGTTACCATTCTCCATTTTCCAGATTTCTTTTTTCGTTTTTTCTTTTCTTTTTCTTTTTTTTTTTTCTTTTGGTTTTTCGAGACAGGGTTTCTCTGTATTGTTTTGGAGGCTGTCCTGGAACTCGCTCTGTAGACCAGGCTGGCCTGGAACTCACAGAAATCCTCCTGCCTCTGTCTCCCAAGAGCTGGGATTAAAGGTGTGCGCCACTAATGCCGGCTGTTCATTAGCATTTTTAAAAGCCATAAATTCAATTATTATTGTCTAACTTCTGAGTTTTGTATCATTTTATTTACTAATGAAGTCAATCTTTGTAAGAAATCAGTGAGGGTTTCTTTTGGGTCCTGTATAACTTTAGTAAACGACTCCATTTTCTTTCCTACTTCTTCAATTCTGCCCCAAGCATTCAAAATTGTTGTGTGGCATAAAGTCAGGGTGCAGTCATCATATAGAGATTGTCTTTGTATGTTAGCATAGTCTCCCTCTCCAAGAAGTTGGTTTTGGGAGATTTCCATACTCTAACCCTACCATCGTTCAATGGTCTTAGACTCTCCTCCATTCTACCAGGTCCTCCGTGGTAATTGAGGACCAGGCTCCAAGACTGTTATAATCAAGTCTCTTCAGTCTTGAGGGATAATTCTATTACAGGCTGACCATGAGTTTAACATCTGCTTCACAAAAGGTGAATGCATGGACTATCACTTTCTTGGATCTCCTTAAATTTAAAATCTCCACAGGAGTACATTCAGATCTTGCACAGCCTTGGGGATATCTACCATTTGGCAGTTCTTCCTGTAATGTGACTGAATAAATTAAAGTTGGTTGCTTGAAAATTTTAGGCTGTTCCTCTGTAACCTTATAATGCAGTGCTAAAATGTTCTGGTTTTTATATTTCTATTTTTTAATCTTTGTCTCTTTAAAGTACATTTGAGTCTGGAGACATGGTTCATTAGTTAAGACACTGACTGCTCTTACAGAGGACCTAGGTTTGAATCATAGCACCCACATGGCGGCTCATAGGCATCTGTAACTCCAGTTCTAGGGGATCCAACACCCTCTTCTGGCCTCCAAGGGCAACAGGCATGCACATGGCTCACAGACATACATGCAGGTAAAAAACCCATAGACATAAGTAAAAAAATCTTTTAAGATAAATAAACAAAATATATCAAACCCCACAATTTAATAATAGGCTACTTATATTCATGAAATATTATAAATCCATTCATGAAATATTATGCAGCTTAAACAAACTATTTTAAATTAAACTGAAAAAATTTTTTATGTGTATGGTGTTGTGCCCAAGTCACAAAGATCCCCAGAAACCACCAGGAAAATAGACCCACCAAAATGCAAAAGCAAGGTTATAATTGTTCATCTGTCCATAACAGGGACCACCATCTAGCAAGCTAATGCAGCAGCCCCCAGAGGGTATGAAGTTCCCTGTCCACTGCTAGGTTTTAAAGACAAAAGTTACAGGATTACACCAGTAGGTACAGGTTGGTTTCTGATTGGTTGACATTTAGGAGCAATTAGGAGAATTTCTCAAAGCCATATTTTGGCATGAAATACCTGTGTACCAATTATTTTCATTGGTCAGTGCTAAGAGGGAACATTTTGTAGTTTCTATGTCATTGTCTTATTACTTGCAGGAGGCCTGTTGTTCATAGACACCAATAGTTTTCAGAACTGTATCCTGGAGACTACAGAGGAGATTTTGGTCCCTCCTGGAGTTTCTTTTGTGGCCAAACAGTTCCCAGGAACCAAATATCTAGGAGGCTAGGGGTCGTCTGGAGTTTGTGTTCCGTTTTGGCTCTAGGCTCTGGGAGGCCAGAGGATCTGGAGTTTCCTTGTGTCAGAGGCCCACGTGTCTTTTCTGTAGCCTATCATGGCCACTAAAGCAGGGGGCTGAGTGAGGGTCTGGTTCCTTTATTTCTAAATTATTAGAAGTGAAGCCCTTGAGTTTAGTTTACCCCTTTCCTATGGATGCTTTGTTTTGTATGTCTGTGCACCATGTGCATGCATGGCTGGTACAAGTGAAAGCCAGAAGAGTGCATTGGTTTCCTAGAAACTACACATATCTCTCCAACCCCATAATTCCCTAATTTTTATTTTATTATTATTATTATTTTGGTTTTTCCAGACAGGGTTTTTTTCTGTATTGCTTTGGAGGTTGTCCTGGAACTTGCTCTATAGACCAGGCTGGCCTCGAACTCACAGAGATCTGCCTGCCTCTGCTGGGATTAAAGATGTGTGCCACCAACGCCCCGCTAAGAATCCCCCATTTTAATGTATGCTGGTTTACTCTCTTAAGTGACTAGTGCTAGGTGGCAATTATCAGAGTGGCATTGCTTGGAGTGCCCAGTGTTTAGGCACACCTAATATCTGTGTTCAAGACACACACCAGTATAAGCCTGAAAGGAGTGTCATTACTGAGTTTAAGTTTGGAGGACACTAGCTTGACTGTTTTCCTAAAAAGGCAAGCTTTAGATCTCTTACAAGTTAGGAGACAGAGCTAATGGCCATAAATGAATTGGGTAGCTGGTGCACAAATGAATCATATACACAACAATGCTTATTCAGTCAAAACAAATGTGTGCAGCCTCAATTTTAAATGACAAGGATGCTCTAAAAGAGAAGTTGTGTTTATTCTACTTGCAGCAATAGGGTTGGATAGCTTCGCGTGTGCTAGGTAAGTACTCCACCAGAGTTATATCCCTCTTTTCTTTTACTTTCTTTCTCTCTTTCTATCTATTGTTGTTTGGTTGATTATTTATTTATTTATTTTTTTTCAGACAGCATCTCAATATGTAGCCCTGGCATCCCTAGAACTCACTATGTAGGCCAGGCTGGCTTTGAATTCATGACAATCTTCCTGCTTCTGTCTCTTTAGTGCTGGAATTACCCACATGATCCTCAAATGACACCTCAGTCCTCTTTTTAAAATTTGAGACAGGGTCTTCCTAAATTGCTCACATTGGCCTTGGACTCAGAGTAGACTAAGCTGGCTTTGAATTTGTAAGCCTCCTGCCTCAGCCTTGTAAGTAGCTGGGATTATAGGCCTGCAGCACCTTTGCGCCTTTGGTTCTTTTGTTGTTGTTGTTGTTTCTTATTTATTTATTTGGTGTTTTGAGACAAGGTTTCACTATGTAGCCCAGGCTGTCCTGGAACTGACTCTGTAGACCAGGCTGGCCTTGAAATCACATATCTACCTGCCTCTGCCTCCTGAGTGCATGTACCACCTGGCTTTGTTTCTGGGTCCCATGCCCCATTGATAGTATAGTCAATAAATCTGTATTTTTGTCTGCTCTAAATCTCTTTTATGCCAAATTAGTGTTCAGGCTCAGACTGAGACACTAAGATGGTTTTATTTTTCTTACAATGAACTTAATGAAAATCCCAAGAAAACATAATGGTCTTTGTCATACTTTTCTGGATATAATAAGTTCTTTGGATTTTCTCAAGTAGCAAAGAAAGTCAAGCATACTCTGTCCTCCTCACTGAGAAACCCAGAGGTCCTGAGAGGCCTTACACACTCTGGGTCAAATGCCAGGTGCTTGCCAGACTTGAAGCCTTCAACCTACACCACCCCATGCCCACGCTTCCTTCTTCTTCCTGCTGCGGATAGAACTCAAGGTTTCCAGAATATTTTGCAAGAACTCTACCACTCAGCTACATCTCTACCTCCCAAGAGGTCATTGCCTCAGCCCCAAGCTTCTGCAAACGGGAGGCAAAGGAGAAGAGCTTGCATTCAACATCAACACAGGTAGCAGAAGCAAGCCCTATCTAGGTCCTCTTGTAACCAGCCTGGCAGAAATGAAGACATTCTAAAGAGACACTGTGTCTCTCAATCTGACTATCAGACTGGTGAAACAATGGACCCCAAAGAAATGGAAATTTCCACAGAAATCTCATCCTGGGAGAAAGAAAATGCACTAGCATTTGTATCCTGGAATGGGATTTCTATTTTTCTTTTTCTGTTTTTGGCTTTTTGAGTTACTGTCTTTTGGGGGTAGACCTAGCTAGCTTAGAACTTACTATGTAGACCAGGCTGTACTTGGACTCACAGCCATCCATTTACCTACCTCTGACTGAGATTTTTAAATCTCTGAAAGAGATTTAAAACAATGTTGGGTCAATGGTGGTAGGCAGGACCATACCTTGACCAGGACTGCTTAGATGTGCACATCCTTGACTTTCTATGTAATTGTTTGATGTCAGTTTGGGATTCCAAAGGCAGACTTGGATTCTCTGGACCTCTTTGTCCCTCTTCCCTCTGCTTTCAACTTTTATATTGGTTCTTTTAATTGGTTTATTGAGGACGGACCTGATTTGGGAAATAGGTTGTGACCCCACCAAACTCAATAACGCTATTGTTCTCAGTTTAGGGCCACACACCGCATGAGAGGCCCCAGGACTGTACTATATAACACTATTCCTTGGGATTTTTCTGATTCAGGCTGAGTTCAGGCATGACCCTGCCGGTCTAAAGTACTGGGTAGGACGGGAGGCGCAGACAGTGGCCAGGAGTCAAGCGGCCCTCCAAGGCCACCTCTTGGCCATCCCAGTGCGCTGCAGCTGCAGCAGCACAGACTAAGTTAGCTTCTGTCCCTGGAGAGAAGTCACCTTCCAGCTCAGTCTAGACTGGTCTAAGGTTCCGCCTCCTTCCTCCCAGGCGCTCCTCCGCCCTCGGCCCGCCTCTGGCCCTGCCCTAACCTTAGGCCCGCCCCCGCCCAGGCCTCGCCTTCGCCTCCGGGCCACTGCGTCCCTCCCACTGAACTGCCGGACAGAGCCCAGCGGGCCGGGCTAGGCTGGCGTCGCTGCCCGCCGCCAGGCTGGCAAGGGCCGCGGGCACCGGGCTCGGGGCTCCAGAAGCCGCCGATGGGAAGCTGTGCTCAAAAGGGCGAGAGAAGACGCCGCGGCCACCGATAACGCCGCGGCCACCATGGGGAACAAGCAGACCATCTTCACTGAAGAGCAGCTGGACAACTACCAGGTGAACCCCGCGCGCTGCGGCCCCTGTCGTCCTCCCCTCTGTTCTTTTCCGAGGTCTCGCGAAAGCGGAGTCACTGAGGTTCAAACCGTGCCGCTGCGCGGCTGCCTTCAGCGCGCAGCGTCACCGTCACCTTGGGTGGTTGGCTTCCTCTAGATGATGAGCCTCAGTTTCCCAGGCCGGGGAATAAGAGCATCCAATTAGAAGATTCTGTCAGATGCGCCTCACTCCCCTTCTTTCCCTCGTTAACCTTCTTTCCTGTCCTCTCGGGCTGGACCCCAGCGATTCCCCCCCAGCCCATTGGGCATGACCCCTATTCCAGAAAGGTCTTAGAGTAGGTAGGTGAAGGACAAGAGGCCCCAAATTCAGTTACAGGTTGGGATGTGTTGTTTATCTGGTGGGGTTTCTCTGTGGCTGTAGCATGGAAATAACTGGAGGAAGGAATCTACATAGCCGCATCTCTCAATTTGGTGATCCTAGTAACCACTGTCACCCCAGATTCTTCCAGGTTCCGAGCTATCAATTCATATCAGAGCCTCCAGCCATGTGAAAACTTTTCTTTGGGTATAGGAGGAAAGCTTATTCCTTGGCTGGCCCAGAGTCTTGCCCAGCTGCCTAGCTCACCTCATCTGCGGCTGCGGTAGACCCTCCAGGTGTCTAATCCTGAACCCTGTCCTCCATCTGCCTTAGTCAGTTTCCCCACCGGCCGGGTTCAGGCATTTTCCTGGGCATGGGATGCCTTTCTCATGTCTCTAAGGAGTGCCTTCCATCCTTCAAGGCCCCAGGGAAGTCTCTTTGTCTCCTCTAAACGGATTGGGTAGGATTGTTTCCTCGTGGGTATTCCTATATTAGATGTCTGTAACCATCATGAATATTCAATAAGCAAGAAGACCTTACCTCCAGCGTGACCAAGTGATAGAATATGTACTTAAGAGCCCTAGTGGACAGGGGAGGGCAAATATGAAGGGAACTCTTGCTTTGACTGGAAGGTTCAGGAACAGTGCAGAGCTTGCACAGGGCCTTAGTAAATGAGATTTTTGCCCAATAAGTTCTGGTAGGCATTCTAGGTGAAGGTAGATGCTTGCAAGCAGCCCAAAGTCGGAAGCCAAGAGTGGCCCGGTGACGGTGGGGAGCCTGCATCCCCACTTAGACCAGCCTGGCATTGAGTTAGTAGTCAGACCCGGTCCAGTGTTGAGTTCTGATCCTTTGCCAGGGCCCAGCTAGACCCTGCCAGAGAAACGAGAGCCATGAAACACGAGAGCCCCCATCTCCTTCCCTCTGGCTCTCTAGCATAGCCGGCCAGGGCTGGGTCTGGGCAGCGGAGTTACATTGCCTCCAGGGTTTCCTGGAACTTCCCTTTCCCAGGCAAGATGCCCCACCTCTGCTCTTCAGATGCCACCGAGTCCCAGAGTTTAGGCTACTGCCCAGGCCACCTATGTGTAGGGCACACCCATCCTCCACCCAACACACATGGGCCCCACTGCCCTCCCCAGAACCCACTGCACACCTCCAGCCACTCCAGCTCCTTGCTGCCCTTCAGCCTGTGTTTTCAATTAAGAACAAGCCTATGACTCAGCCTACTTTGCATCTCACCGTGAGATCTCCTCCTCCATCCCAAGAACTAGACCCTGGCCAGCCCTCCAAAGTCTCCTGGGACAGAGGTCTAACAGAAGCTACCTCCCCTGCCTTGGGTCCTTGACTCTAGCCACAATCCCTGTAGTCTTTCTTTTGTCCCTCTTCTCTTCTTTCTCTCTTTTCATCACCCCCTTCCTTTTCCCTCCTTCCTTAATCTTTCTTTCAAGAGACAGCATCTGCCTCACTATGAAAATTATGGACAAAGAGTTGGATTGACTATGTACTAGCCAGCCCGCTTTAGGAAACCCTAAGAAGCCATCCATTGGACCTGGATGAATGTACAAGCATAAACACTATGCCCAGCTCTAGCAGAGAACTTTCTAAAACACAGGTACAGCTGCCTTCTGTCCAGGTAATTCTGCTGACTTAGGATGAATGAACAGAGTCAGAGCAGGGTTCAGCCTAGCCTGGTCTGGATTCAGTTGCTCTCCAACTCATTTCTTACTTGAAGCCCCAGGCACTTTGCAGGGCTTCTAGTCAAGCGGGTCGTATTGTCTTAGCCCCTCATCAACAGTCTTTCTAGGCCTCACATCTCCAGGGAAGATTCTGATTTCACCCTGGTCCACTCACCTGGGAGTACTCAATGGGCCTGTGACACAGGTGCCTCTCCTTCACCTGGACACTGAATGGTAATGTTGCCGTCCACCCTCCTCTCCTCCCTGAACCCTTGTCTAGGCACAGACGAGGCACAAGGAAAGGAGGGAGGGAGGGAGGGAGGGAGGAAGGGAGGAAGATAAAACAAACATAGCATACAGTTCTAAGAGGTGTAAAGATCTCCATATGGGATTCTGAAGTCCCGGGTTTAAGTTGTGGCTGGGAAGTTGCCACTGTGGGAGTTAACAGGTTAGTTTTCTCTTCTGGGCCCAGGTTCCCACTTCTATGGTGGGAATCCTTACTAACCCAGCTATGCTGATGTCACAGGGCTAAGGCCATTCTGCAGCCTGACCTCCAGCTGCATGGTGACTGATGGGTTCAGTCCTAGGCTGGGCTGGCAGAGCCAGAGAGGAGCTACCTCTCCTTCAGATGGGACAGATAGTGGCATGACTCTTGACCACTGCCTACAGCAGGCCAGGTAGATAGGAAGCAGATGCCAGACAGAGCTCTTGGGTAGGAAGGGGTTGGAAGTGTGTATGGGGGAATAGGTGGCACATACCTTTGGAAGAATTGAGTCTTGATGGAAATGACCTCTAGGCTTCTAATACTAACTAGAAGATCCCAGCCTGGCCTGTTTGATGCTTCCAGAATCCTAAGACTCCTGTTATCCCAGTCTAGGCCCCTGGGACACAGTTTTCACATCTGTAAAACAGGGAGATGATGACTGTTCCAGGGTAGTGCTGAAGATGAGATGAAATTGGCAATTTAGAGTCTGGTGTGCGAGGTACCTGATAACTGTGTACTGGCTGTGAGGTGGTTCTCAGCCTGGGCTACACTTTAGAATCATTGAGTAGCGGGGGATGAAGTGCGAGCCCTGGGGGGATTGAACCTAAGGCTTTCTGTGTGCTAGGTACTCTATCATTGCTCTATACCTCACCCCTAGTCTTTTCATTTTATACAGTAACTCACTAAGTTGTACCAGGCTGGTCTTGAACTTGTGATCCTCCTTCCTTAGCCTTCTAAGTAGTTGGGATTATAGGCCTGCTTGGAAGGACTGAATGACTTTGAAGGTCACTAGTGCCTAGGAGGACCCAGGGACCTCCCATTTCCCATTTCACTGGTCTGAGGGGTGGCGAGGTCCAGGTATTTTTCAGGGCTCCCAGGTGGCACTTTTGTGGTGAAAGAGCTCTCCTGCTGGTAGGATCAGCACCACGGGGAGAGTTTTTAAAGTACACGTCACCACCCACTTTCTGTTGTTGTTGTTTTGTTTTTGTTTTTTTAATCACTCACATTCTCAGGAGGCTGCTGCTATGGCTTGGGCACTGTTTCTTAAAGATCAGTACCAGGAAGGTGAGTCTAGTTGTACTAAGGTGGCCAGGATACGTGGGAAACCTTTTGCCACCAGTACTCTTGAGGGGTCTTGTATATTTTCTAACTTGGGTATGTGTAGGAGGAGCAGAGACTGGGGCCAGGACTCCCTGTCCCCTGTCTGTTCCAGTTTTGTGACACCCCTTCCAGGTTAGTTAGCAGAGCTCTGGTCTAGAGATAGCCCTCTAGATAGGGAATCTGTTCCTGAAGGCTCAGCGAGGCTGGCTGTGCTGTCTGCTCTTGGTCTCTGAGAACAGCTGAGGGCCCAGCCCATAAGCCCTCAGCCTGCCTGACAGGGAGTTTTCTGTCTGCACGGGTGGGGATGGGGCTGCTGCTTCCCAGCCCGAGCTTTTCTTGACTCCTACAGAGGGGCCGTTGCCAAAAGCAAAGTTGAGCCCTCCAGGGGAAGTCCCCAAGTTTCCAAGATGGGCACAGCAGCAAGGAGTCCTTCATCTGTCTCCTAGGAGACAGAGCAGGTGGCTTCATGGGAACATGCAAATCCCACCCACCTTCCTTTTTGCCTCTACAGAGGCAGCAAGGAAAGCCCAGCTGTGGTACACATAGCATGAGCGTCCTGTCTGGCCCACCTCAGTGTACAACCCAGCCGGCCTGGTGTCTAGCAGCTCCAGGTCTTCCAGAGCCAGCCTGGCTGTCGGTACGCCTGGCTGTGTCCATTCTCCCCCTCATCAGTACAGCACTGCTTAGCATAAGGCCCCAGGAGGCCCTGTGGGCTCTGGGCTCTGCTGATCCTGAGGCCTTCTTCCTTCACGCTGCACCAGTGGGCAAAGGCAGAGGAGCCGGGCAGCAGGAGGTAAATGGAAAAGCCCTGCATGGTGGGCGTTTTAAGGCCGGTTGGGTCACTTTCACTTCCTCCCACCTGGCCTGGCACAGTAACCGTCATGGGAGACTCCCATCCAGATAGACAGGTCCTTAAAAGGAGTTCAGATGCTGCCATCCCATCCCGCTCTTCTGGGGTCTACCCCTCACACCTCAGGGCCTCCGCCCCTCTAATGCCTCCTCGGTGTGATATCCCTTGTTCCTTCAGCCCAAGGCCGCAGGTCATAAAACCGGAACTGTAAGTCTCCAAACTCAGGACTGCTGCTCAGGGCGACCCAGGACGTCCACTTCACAATGCCTACGCACATGAGGCCCTGTCCTCAGTGCCTGTGGTGGTGTACGCGGCATCCTGCCGATCCACTCGAGAGGTCTCTGGAACTGTCTCGTAGATACCTCCCTGTTCACCCACAAAGTGATCCTCTGACTGTCAAATCTACTGTGGCCACCATGTTCCTCTTTGCCAAGTACCCCCAAATGTGCCACCTAGCTCTACCCCCCCCCCTGTGGATTGCTGTCCTGGGCCCAGTTGGTGATGGCACAAGACCTAGTAGAATTGCCCCTGGGGAGGACTGGGAAGGGGTAGGAGACACACTCTTCTGCCTTGGGTCCAGGACTGTTGGATGGGGTCCACCATGTGTGTTTTCCCTCCACAGGACTGCACTTTCTTCAATAAGAAGGACATCCTCAAGTAAGTGTGGCTTCTCATCTACATATCTGGGTAGGGGTGGGGCTGGGGGCTGTGGTAGGGGTGGGGCTGGGGGGTCCCATGGGACCCGGCTGGGCTGGAGTTGAGGAAGACTGTGGGACCTGAGTTCAGGTGGGCCTCAGGCACACATCAGATTTACAGCATAGATTGAAGAAGGTGCCACTGCTTCCTGGGCACCTGTCCCCCTTAGGGGAATGGGCTACCTACTATGTTCTGACGCTGAGATAAAGGGTTTGAGGCATGGTCTCATTCAGTCCTCACTGGGACTTTGAAACAAGAGAATCTTGCTAACCCCCTTTGCCATGGGACTTTGAAACTTGGCCCAAGTCACAAAGCCAGGTCTAGAGATGTGGCCTTCTAATTCCAGGGCCCTGGCTATTTTTTTTTTTCCTTTTGGGCCTGCTTCCATAGGGACCACTGTCTTTTAAGTTAGGGGCTCTATTACTCCTTTGCCCTCATTGTCTGTCACTCCTGGGATGTCCAGAAACCAAAGACATGCCCATCACCCCTGAGTGATTACCAGGGGTCTCCAGGACAGCCCCCATCCTTGTGGGTTAAGGAGGGGTCCTGAGCAGGAGACACAGCAGCTTTGATAGTCTCGTCCCAGTGAGCAGGCATTCCAGGATGCGAGGAAACCTGCAGCCCTTGCTGGCCCCCTCCACCTAGGCTATCCAGTGTCACTAAAAGCCAGCAAAGTCTCAGGATCAGTTTCCCTGGAGATCGATGCTCAGGCTGGGGCCATAGCCTGGTACAGCCTCCCCAGAGAGCTGTACTGTCATCTGTCACTACCCTGACCACTCTGTGTAGACAGTGTTCCTCTCCCAGCCAGTCTTCCGTCTTGTTACTTAAGTAGGCAGAGGATACACTATTTTCACTTCTTGTGGAGGTGTCAGAGCCCTCCAGATTTGGTCTCAGGTCTGGGCTGTCCTCCCACATCCACAGCTCTGGAGTTCTATGGCATCAGAGAGGTTTGACTCTCTGGAACCTCACTTTCCAGGGGTGCTGGTACCATTATAAAGGGGCAGTAATCAAAGGTGCACCATCTGACCATTGGGACTAGCCTATCCTGAGTGACGTGTCCTCCGTAAGGGTTTCTTGGGCTGACTGATCTTCCAGAGTTCTTTTCGGTCTTACTGTATTAACCCTCTATTTATTTAGGTCTGCTTCCAATCTCCTTAGCCCCTGATGTGTAGCCGCTGAGTCTGAGCGACTTGTATTCCAAGGCTCACAGTATTTCTATTCTGGTCCAGTTCCTTGTCACTGCAGCACTTACAACGCTCTTAAAGCCAACCAAAACTCTGCAGATTCAAAGACTGGATAACTAGCTCCCCTTGAGAATTCAGGCGTCCCTACCTTTGCCTGGTACCTGGGCATGGTGCCTGGTAGCCACAAGTGAGTGTGTAAGGACTATGGTAAGGGAAGGAGGAGTGGCCACAGGAGGATGGTCCAGGCTGGCAAAATGCAGAGACAAAGACACGGCCTGTGTCCCCTTCTGACCCCTACCAGGTACTAATCCTGTTGAGATTAGCAGGGTGTTGGAGAAGAGTGTTGTAAGAGCTGGTCCGACAGGCCTGTGGGGGTGTCTATGACTCATTGGCAAATAAATGAAGGTCTCTTGGGCAAAGCTTCGTGACTCCCCCCAACCCTGGCTTTTTTATCTCCACACTAAAGAGAACAGCAAATGTCAGGTCCCCTCATGAGCGAAGGAACGTCAGAGGCAGCTGTACACCCTGCCTGAGCCGTTGCCTGTCTTGTTTGGGAGTGTCACTTCCGTGTCACTGATCCCCACAAGCCTGTCTCTCCACTGCTCACATCCCAGTGAGACCTAGGGAGGAGAAGGAGCAAAGACCACCCAGCCAGGCCAGCCAGACCCTGCCTCCACTGGCCTGCCTGCCTCCCTATGCTTTCACGCAGCCTCCGTTTCCCACCCCTTGGCTGCCTGTTTCCTGGGTAAGCTGAACCCTGAGTACTGACCAGATGTCGGGAGGAAACCTGAGCAGGAGGCTCTCCTGTCTGTGGCTTAGATCACAGATAACCATGATCCCCTGGCTCAGCTGCTCCCCCTGCCAGCAACCCCAGTAGATTCCCTAGCCACAGCTCTTCCATCCCAGCACCGAGGTGAGTGGTCAGCTCATCCCACCCGTCCAGTGGGTCAGAGCTTAGCCCTTCCCTTGTCCTCAGCTGTTCCTGAACAGGTGGGAAGGAGTCCTTGTGCCCCCAGTCAAAGACAAGCCAGCCAGTTGACACCCCAAGGATCTGCCGAGGGATTGCTTTATTGTTTATTTTCTTAACCTTTTAAACATTTATGCATTCTATTTTACTTACTTCTTATTTTCTTCTATTATACATGAGGAGTCTGAAACTTAACAGCCTGCAGGGGCCACCCTGCACCCTGAATAAAGGAAGTGGGCCAGCCCCGGGTCATTTCTGAAGAAATAACTGCTCCCAGCCCCAGCAGGATCGGCAAAGAGTATACAGTGTACACATCTTTCCATTTGTAAATGCTGGCAAATAAATTTGAAAATTCAATTTAATTCTTTCTTTTCTAAAAATTTAATATATTTAAAAACCCATGTGGGAGCCAGACATTCATGTGGGCTATCAATTTCTGACTTTTCAGAAGAATCTGTCTTTCCCCCCATGACTGCCAATGCTGTGTATCAAAGGTTACATCTCATTAATATTTGGGCTCGACCCTCCTCTGAGTCTGGCACCAATGTCTGTTTTCTTATCTTTCTTTTTAGGGGGCAAGGCAGGAGTCAGGAAGTTAAGACAGTCTTGCTATGTAGGGTTGGCTGGTTTTGAACTTTTGCCAGTGCTTCCTTTTGGGTTCTAGAATGAGGGGTTGCCTTTGCCTCTCCTCTTCTCCTGATCTGTCCCTCTTCTCTCTCTCTCTCTCTCTCTCTCTCTCTCTCTCTCTCTCTCTCTCTCTCTCTCTCTCTCTCTCTCTCTCTCTCTCTCTCTCTCTCTCTCTCTCTCTCTTTGGTATTTACGAGACAGGGTTTCTCTGTATTGTTTTGGAGGCTGTTGGTCCAGCCCGGCCTCGAACTCACAGAGATCTGCCAGCCTCTGCCTCCTGAATGCTGGGATTAAAGGTGTGCGCCACCACCGCCCAGCTCTCTGTCTTAATATTGTGATGATTATTTTGGTTTTGAGTGCTTACAGTTTGTTTTTGTTTGTTTTGGTTGGTTAGTTGGATTTTTGTTTTTGAGACAGGGTCACCCTGTATAACTCAGTTTGGCCTTGAACTTGGAATTCTCCTCCTGCTTTAGCTTCTTTAGTAGGAAGGGCTCTGTTAACTTCCTAAAATCACCCAGGTGGGTTTCACACAGCTAGAGTAGCACAGTTGTCATTCTTGGTCCTGGCTGTTAGATGGGGGCCTTTTATTGGGGGAAGGGGTGACAGAGATATAAGTCTTTCTCCCTTCCTTCCTTCCTTCCTTCCTCCTTCTTTTCCTCCCTCCTTCCCTCCCTCCCTTCCTTTCTTCCTTTGTTTTGATGATTTTCCTCCCACAGTGATTTTGGGTTTTTCAAATTCTCTGTGGAGTTCCTTAAAATTTCCATCATCATCTTGGTTGCTTTACTTTTATTTTTAATTTTTTAAAAGATTTATTTCATGTGCATTGAGTGTTTTGCCTGCATGTATGCGCGTGTACCACATGCCTGCCTAGTGCCTACAGGCATCAGAAGAGGGTGTTAGATCCCTGGTGCTGTAATCACGGGTGGTTATGAGCCTTAGTGTGGATGCTGAGAACTGAACCCAGATCCTCTGCAAAAGCAACAAGTGCTCTTAGCTGCCAAGCCATCTCTCCAGCCCCAATTTATTTTACTTTTAAATTATATATATATGTGTGAGAGAGAGTACATGTCGTGTGTGTGCCTGAGGAGAGGCCAGAGGTGTCAGATCCCGGGAGCTGAAGTCACAGCTAACTCAGATCCTGTGAAAGAGCCATACATCCTCTTGACCTCAGAATCATGTCTCCAGCCCCTAGTGGTTGTTTTAGAACAGATCTGTATACCTGGGCAGAATCTGGCTTTTCATCTCAGGAAATGCATCCCCACCCTTTGGGAGTACCCATAGCCTGATCCCTCGTTTACCTCTTCTGGGGAGTCCCTGGCAGGCAGGCAAAAGAGTAGAAATAGCTACAGTTGGACTCTAAGTGGTTTATGTGTATATGTGTACTTGTGTATGCATGGGTGGACATGAGTTCTGTTTGTTTTCTTAGTCAAAATTTCTCTGTATAGCCTTGGCTGTCCTGTAACTCACTCAGTAGACCAGGCTGGCCTCAAATTCAGAGATCTGCCTGCCTCTGCCTCTTGAGTACTGGCATTAAAGGTGTGTGCCACCACCACCCAGGTGTACAAGTGCACATGTATGTGTGGGTGCATCTGTGTGTGCATGCAGTGGAGGCCAGAAACAACCTCGGGTGTTATTCTTCAAACACATCCACCTTTGTTCTGAGACAGAGTTTGTCACTGGCCTGGAGCTTACCAAATAAGGCTGGATGTCTAGTCCTCAGCGATCTGCCTGTCTCCGATTCTCCAGCACTGGGATTAAAAGTGTATATGCTAGGGTTGGAGAGATGCCTCAGGGGTTAAGAGTACTTGCTGTTCTGATAGAAGACCCAGTTTCCAGTACCCCCACAGTGACTCACAAATGTCCCCAAGTGTTATGTGATACACATATATAAGTGCAGGTAAAACACTCATACACATGCGATAGAATAAAAGACTTTAAATACTTAAATAAATAAAATGTTAAGATTTTCTAAAAACCCAGTGGTTTTTTGTTTGTTTGTTTGTTTTTTGTCATCGTGTCTAACCTTTTCTTTTTAAAAGATTTATTTATTATGTACACAGTGTCTTGCCTGCTTGTATACCTCCAGGCCAGAAGAGGGCATCAGATCTCAATACAGATAGTTGTGAGCCACCATGTGGTTGCTGGGAATTGAACTCAGGACCTCTGGAAGAGCAGTCAGTGCTCATAACCTCTGAGCCATCTCTCCAGGACCCTTTCTTTCCTTTCCTTTCCTTTCCTTTCCTTTCCTTTCCTTTCCTTTCCTTTCCTTTCCTTTCCTTTCCTTTCCTCTTCTCTTCTCTCCTCTCTTTCTTTGATAAACGTAAGTTCTGGGGATTGGACTTCACTGACTGTACTGACTTGGTCCTTGGTATGCTGTGGTCTGTGTATCAAGGAAAGTCTCCTCAGCCTACCTGGTAGTTTTATGAACGTTGTCCTATTTAGTCCTCACAAGTGGTAAAAATGATAGACTGGTTGGCACTTCTGACTGAAAATCGTTTTCTGTGGTTACTCCATTTACCCAAGGTCACCCCACTAGTGAATGGTTTAGGTGCAGTTTCAACCTTAGCCGGGCTTGAGGCTCCTGCCGCAGCAATCCCCACAACTCTGGGGGCATAAGTGAATTCCCAGAGGCACCCCGCATCAGCCGTAGCACAGATGGAGGGAACAGACATTAAGATCTAGTCCAAAACGTAACCATCGGAAACACGATGGGCCTGTTAAAGGTGAACGGATTAGCCAAGAATAGTGGCACGGGCCTGCGATCTCATGAGGAGGCTGCAGGCTGCTGACGCAGGAGGCTTACAAGGCTTGGCTACACAGTTAGACCCTGCCTCCTCCAAAAAGACACACATTGCAAAATTTAACCTTGATGCAAGGAGTGTTATAAAAAGAAGGGCAATATTCCTCGGTGCAGGAAATAGCAGAGAAAATCTGAGAGTCCGATTGTGGAGAGTCACAGATTTGATCCGGTCACCCTGGTGTCTGCTGACCCCACCCACCCAAAAGATAGGATTTTAGGGGTTTTCCCCTTCTGCTCTGTCCCTTGTGACCTCAGGTCCTTTGATGGAGATGTGCTCCTGGAGAGTGAACTTACGGCATTGTGCTTATTGTTTACTTATCCGGGACATGGTTTGCTCTAGGAGATTCAGTGTTTTCCAGAGTGGCTTGACATGCAGCGCATGTGTGTGTGTGGATGCGTGTGTGCGTGTATCAGTCCTGGGTTTAAATCTCATCTTCACTGCTTGCTCACTATATAAGTGCTGATAGGCACTTAATCGTGGTCTTCAGTTTTCCCATCTGAAAAGTTCGAGGCTAATACTCACTTCTCAGGGTATCTGGGAATTAAAGTAAGCAAGGACATCCATGCAGCACCAGTCCAGAGACAAAGGACTTGGTAGATGGCAGCTTCAGCCATTATCCACGTGTGCTGAGGAAGATGCCAAGAGCTCTTAGACACCAGGAGTCAGGTGGAACTCAGGTGAGCATTGGGTTAGTGACACTGAGGAACATACTAAGGGAGGACCTGGAAGGTTTAGGTCACTTAGAGGTCCTGGTCAGATCAATTTTGAGGTAGAAGAGCAGGTCCAGCCCAGGAGATGCAAAATCATAATGATCCAGTCTGCACTAGTCTGGGCCCTCACCTTGGGCAAATTGCTAATCTTGTCCCTTGACCAGTGCTCCTACATCTGCCCCATGCACCAATACGTCACCGAGGCAATCTCATATAAGTGTAGTTTGAACCTATCTTGAAATGGAGGGATGACCTCCAGGATGTAAGGGATCTGGACAAGGGACACAGGACAAAAGAGGACAGGATGATGGGGGACATCCAAGAGACATGGGATCAGGAGGGCTTACATCCCAGAGGTGATGAGCAGCTTACTGAGGTGGGCACAGCCTCCTGAGTACGAGACAGGGATGTGGGGTGGGAGCTTGACCTGAGCCCGCAGCCAGCATGGCTTGGTTCAATGGGAAGGCCTGGTCCTTATGGCTCCAGCTGGAGGGAGGTTGTAAGGATCCATTCATAGGGGCTCCTGGAGGGCATGACAGCTGCTGAGCATTCTTAGCAACTGACCTTGAGGACAAGAACTAGACTGGAGCTCTGGAGGACCCCTAGTTGTGGCAGGCAGAGGAGTGGTCATGTTTACGCCCTGGATTTCCCAGTCCTAGGTTCCAGCCATGGACCTTGAAGTTCTAACTTGTCTGTAGCTGCAAACTGAGGTCATGTGTCACCTGCATAGTGATGAGCAGGAGATTAATGTGACTTATGTCAAGCACAGTGCCTGGAGCATAAAAAAACAAAAAAACTCCTTTTAGAAAAAAAAAGTGTGTGTGTGTGTGTGTGTGTGTGTGTGAGAGAGAGAGAGAGAGAGAGAGAGAGAGAGAGAGAGAGAGAGAGAGAGAGAGAGAAGAGAGAGAGAGACTCTGTGCATGTAGAGGGCATACGGCAGCTTGTGGGGGTCGGTTCTCTCCTTCCACCATGTGGGTCTCAGGGATCAAACTCAGGTTGTGTTGACAGAAAGTACCTTTACCTGCTGAGTCATCTTGCCAGCACAGCATAGGAGACTTGAGAGACCAAATCAGGTCAGGTGTGGGAGTGGGAGAGGAGGGGAGAGGTGGTGGTGAGAGACAGGGAAGAGGGAGGTGGGAGATAGTTGCCTGGCTGAGGAGCAGGGAGGAAGCACTGCTATAGGGGGATGGCAGTGGTGGTTCACGCATGCGTATGTTGGGGATAAGGAGGACCTGGGAACAGCTGGGTCACCAGCACAGGGATTTGGGCAGGACCTCTTTCCTCTCCAAGCTGTGCCCACTTTGGGCAGAGCAGACAGCTTCTTGTTGGCACCTCACTTGGTCCTGGATGAGGAGAGTGTTTCTAAGCCTAGCAGGGTGGCACTGGGTCCCCAGGGCCCAGGGATGGCAGATCCAGTGCTTTTCCTCTGTTTCTCTCAAAGGCTCCATGCGCGGTTCTATGAGCTGGCCCCCAACCTCGTCCCCATGGACTACAGGAAGAGTCCCATCGTCCATGTGCCCATGAGCCTCATCATACAGATGCCGGAGCTCCGGGTATGTCAGAGGCCACTGCTGGGGGTTGGAGCATGGGGAATCCACACCCTGACAGGGAGTAGAGGCCCACATCCAGATTGAAGCCTGGCTTTACCCTTTGTGAATGTGTTGACCTAAGTGGACTTCTGAAACTCTCTGTGCCTCAGCTTCCCAATGTTCACTTTGCATAAATGAATTATGGAAGTGGGTGGGGCTTGGTAAGTGTACTGTGGATTTGTGACTGCCTACTGTCACTCGGCAGCCCTTGGTCTGCTCTTTAAGATGATTTTTCTCTCTTCTCTGTGTCTGGTCATGGATTCTTGATCATCTCTAGTGGACTTCCTGGGAGTCTCTTTTTGTTTGTTTGTTTGTTTGTTTGTTTTTGAGACAGGGTTTCTCTATTGTTTTGGAGGCTCTCCTGGAACTCACTTTGTAGACCAGGATGGCCTCGAACTCACAGAGATCCACCTCCCTCTGCCTCCCAAGTGCTGGGATTAAAGGCGTGTGCCACCAACGCCCAGCTCCTGGGAGCCTTTTTAGAATGTTCCTTTGGATTTGGGCCATGTGGAGTAGGCTCATTCAGCTCTCAGGGAGGCTGTCGTGCGGGTCTTCAGACTACCTATACAATGAAGGTTCCTTGACTTCTTCACGTGGAATATAGAAGGGACACTCCCACAGCATTGGGCATAATTCCACAGGCCTGGGAGTTGGCAGGGGTAAGAGAGCTACATGGCATCCCCTTGGGCCTGCATCCCAACTCTGTCCTGAGAGATGATGGGCACAGGCGTGACCCTGGAAAGCACTGCCTGTCCTCCAGGGAATGGGAGACCAGGCTGTCATGGAGAATGTGAGGCACTATAGGAACTTTGTTTCAAGGCCTCTGCGGCTGATCTGGGCTGAGCAGCTGTGATGGAAGGAACCTGGGCCCTGGATGATTGGCATCACTGGAAGGAATAGAGATAGTGCTGAAAATGAGAACAAATGGGCTGTGTGATTGGAGGCATCACAGCCGCCTCTTTCTGCTGCTGTTGGTCCAATTATCTGACATGCTGGGGCCTTACTTCCATCCCTCAGCTGTCTGGCCTCAACTAGCCTGAACTGAGAACTTCCTGGAGAGGTTGTCTTGTTTTACTGGAGACACGGTCCAGTTCATGGGGGAAGGAGCCTGTGTATGTGCCTCTGAAAAATGGGACAGTTGGCATGCAGGCTCTGCTGAGTTTGCTGTGTTCCTTTATGGACCCTGTGTAACATGAGAGTCAGGTTCTGGATCAGTGCCCTACACACTCACTCAGCAACTCCTCCAATAACCTGTCAAGTAGCTGTGGTTATTGCCTCGATATAGAGGCTACCATGCAGGTTGTCACAGGCTGCCCTCAGACTGGGCCAAGGCCTCTGCCTCACCTACCTCAGTGACAGCTGTGCTTATCTTCAGGAGAATCCCTTCAAGGAGAGGATTGTGGAGGCTTTCTCTGAGGATGGCGAGGGGAACCTCACCTTCAATGACTTTGTGGACATGTTCTCTGTGCTCTGTGAGTCAGCACCCCGAGAGCTCAAGGCAAATTATGCCTTCAAGATCTATGGTAAGGAGGGGCGGGCTGCAGGGCGGAGCTGTGGTGCTGAAGGGAGCGTCATGTGAGCCATTGGACCATCCATTTATTGTTGGGCCCATGAAGGCTGCCCTTTAAAGAAATCTGCCTCAAGGGCGCAAATCATGCCTGAGATACATGTGAAGAAAAAAGGAAAGACTCCCACCCCGGGTGGGCATTAGGGTGAGGAGTAGTGACTGACTAGGGAACCAGGAAGATTGGTTCCCTGGAGACAGGAGGGCAGACCTCCCAACAGAGTGGGCAGTAAGGCTTGACAAGAGTTTGGAATGTGGTGGGAGGGATCAGTGAGAGGACAGAGAAGTAAACTAGGCAGAGGAGGGCAGTTATGTTCTAGAAAGATCACTGGGAAATCCTTAATTGTGGACTTAGAAAAAAGACAGGCTAAATCTTGGGGGCAGACAGGAGACCTTCTGGGATATTATGATGAGCCAAGCAAGGAGGAAAATCCACAAGAGTCCCCTCACATGCCAGAGGTAGGGTCCTCCTGTGTCCCCAGCCTGCGGACACACTGGCCACTAGAGGTCGCTGGTCTCACAGAATTCTCCCATAGCTAAATGGAGGCTGCCACACAGCTCACTCACTGTGCCTGGGTCAAATCCTTACCAAGTCAGATCATAGAGGCCCAAGGAGGGATTTGAACTTTTACTTGACCAGAAGAAAAGGCCCCACACCTTCCTGCACCTTTGCGAAGCTGGTGGATCTCAAAGTAGTGAGCCCATCAAGGGCTGCCTATTAATTTTGTGATTACTTCAAAGGACTTTGGTTTAGACACATGGTACAGCACATCGTGTTTGCATATAAGAAAGCAGATCCTGCCAGTCCATCCTCCATATATGTAGCTTCTAAAACTTCACCCATCATTCCTCAGTCTTGGACCCCACAGTGCTTCCCCTGGGAAACGCTGTTGTCTTCCTACACGAAGAAAGTACAGATCACGTGGCGGGGGGGGCTCAGGTTCTTACTGTTAAATTAGCTTAGGATTCTATTCTAGACAGATAGCAGGCTTTTTCATGGACCCTTCTGCAGACCCATTGGGAGAAGAGACAAATCCCACTTCGTGCCCACTGCAGAGGTGGGCAGCTCAGGTTATACGAAGGAAGGACTTCCTTCTGCTCTCAGTCTGACTCTGGCCAGGTTGTGACCTCAGGGAGGTCCTCGTCCTCTCCAGCTCTGTTTCTTCACCTGCAGAGTTCAGGCGTGGCTTAGGCAAATGAGGAAGAGTGACTCTGGTCCTCATCACTACCGTTCATGCCAGCCTAGTGGACAGCAGGCATTCAGTGGGGGATGTCTGGACCCTGAATGCTTGATCAGAGGGGTGAGACACCAAGTGCACAGAGCTGGCAGCTGTGCCGAGAGGGTAAGAAGGGTGACAGAGCTAATCATAACGAGCCCACAGAACCACTGAGCTGTGCTCTGGGGACAGCGCTGTGCCTTCAGCCCAGGAGACCCAGCACGGCCCTGTACTCTGCACAAAGGCTGTCCCTGCTCTGGCCTCTCTCAACCTTCCTACTGCTGTGACCCTTTCATACAGTTCCTCATGTTGTGGTGACCCCGACCATAAAATTATTTCATAACTGATTTTGCTACTGCTGTAAATCATAATGTAAATATCTGATAGCAGGATATCTGATGTGTGACCCCCAAAGGTCATGGCCCACAGGTTGAGAACTGCTGGTCTAGGGGACTCCTCCATCTCCTGACTTGACACCTGTTTTTGTTTTTAATTGACAGATTAAGTTGTACATACTTAACTACATACAACATGACATATGTGGGAATTAGTCATGTGTGTCTGGAGGCCTACCAGAGGTGATGAGGTGCCATTTAGAAAGCATGGGTCTCACAGCCAAATGGACCCCGTTAGAGTCCTTGCTCCATCCTGACTGGATCTCTGACCTGGACTCAGGCACTTGGCCTCTCTGGGTCCTGACTTCCCTGACTCCTGAGTCCACTGTGGGGGTGAGGCCAGGAAGGATATTTGGCTTCAGTGTGCTTCAGATTTGGAACTGTTTGGGCTACGGCTGTGTGCACTGTCATCGTGGGGGTTTGTGGGTTCCCCAAATGTTAATTGTTGAGTGTGGATGTTTAACACAGGCCTTGAGTGTGAGCCTATTGGTTGCAAGGATCCCACTATTGTCTAAGTTCATAAAGATACTCTGTGGGCTCCAGAGGCTGGCGGAGAAATCAGTGTGGTCTGCTGGGAGGAAGGGAAGCTATATCGTAGAAGTCCCTGGATAGACTCAGCCCTGTCTTGACCTTCTCTGTTCACCCTCCTAACCGCACAGACTTCAACACTGACAATTTCATCTGTAAAGAAGATTTAGAGCTGACGCTGGCGCGACTCACTAAGTCAGAACTGGATGAGGATGAGGTAGTGCTTGTCTGCGACAAAGTCATTGAAGAAGCTGACCTGGATGGTGATGGCAAGCTGGGCTTCGCTGACTTTGAGGACATGATCGCCAAGGCCCCTGATTTTCTCAGGTGCTGTTACCCCAGGGCCTGGGCTTGGGTTGGACAGGCCAGAGCATTAGGGTCATAGCTGGCTACCTGGTCTCATGGGACCTCCATGGCAATGGTGTATGCAGAAGTAGCAGGTTGAAGCCCCGCTCCCCAGGCGCATGACTACTCAATCCTGAGAGGGATCAAGAGCTTCCGTGGTGCATGGGAAGGGTCAGACTCTGGAGGCTGCACATTGGACACCTGTCTCTTCTGAGCCTCCTGTAATTATCTCTATGCAGCTTCCCTTAGGGAACAACCAGGGTTAGTTAGTTTTCCCCTGCGGAGCCTTCTGCCCAGCCCACAGCCTCTTACCCTCTCTACCCTTTCTCTTTCCAGCACTTTCCACATCCGAATCTGAGGACACCGCCAAGGCTACAGGGGCCTAGAAGTCCGCCCTCTGGCCTGCTGTCTGTGCAGGTGTGGTTTCCAGGCACTTCAGGAAAGGGGCTGTAGCCTCTGGGTCTCTCCTCACCCGTGGCCATTTCCTGTGGCCCTTTCAGCAAAAAACAAATAAAAAAACTTAACAGCGATGAGGTTGTGGAGAGCAGGACCCTTCCCAGGGTCCCCAGTGGTTCACCCACAAGATCAGCAGTCCCCCTGAAGGTCCTCTCAACCCCCGGCTCTCCTGCCCAGTCCTTTTCTCACCCAGCGGTGTCCTCCTAGGAGGGGAAGGTGGGAAACCTAGCAGGAGGGGTGGGGCTGGATTGTCCATGTGCTGGACAGACACCGAGTCACCCAGAGTGAGTGCAGAAAACAAACAGAGACGGGGTTTTGACAAGCTATGCAATCTTTTACTAAAACCAAGGCTGGGCTGCACCACCCCCATCCTCCCCCATCCTGTGCTCTCCCAATGTGAAGCTGTATAAGCAGTAGGTCCTAAGGGCTCTGCCCGTGTCTTGAACACTACCGCACACACCCTCCCCAATGACATGGTGTCACTGGTGTGTGCTGACCTCAGATTTGTGAATTCCTAGGAATAAAACACTTTTGTGTCCTGCACTTTCTGTGTCTGTCACATTAGGAATTAGCATTAGGAATGCTGTCACATTAGCATTGGGAATGCTCAGTGGTATCTTTCAGACAGTCCAGGAAGTCTTAGGAGGGGGTGGGGGGGTTGGGGTGGGGGTGGGGGGGGTGGAGCATTGCCCTCCCTGTCAGGTGCTAATGGGTTGCAGGTAGAGATCTGGACCTCTCTGCAGGGAAAACCACTAGGCTGATGGGTTTCATGGAGGAATCTGGGTTGATCCACAGGTCAGGATTGGCTGGAGGCAGAGGGCAGGCAGGGGTGACTTGCTCACATAGGCCGACTCCAGATGATACCCAGCAGTGCATCCCATGCTCGGGCTCTCTGCTCAGGCCCTCACCAGCTATGTCCTCAAATGAGTTGTGGTCTCAGTCTCTTCATCTGTAGCACAAGCTAGGAGCCTGCGTAGTGAGGCTAGGATAAAGATGGAGAAGCTGGGCAGGAAGACTAGGGGAAGTTCTCAGCCTGCTGTCGGGGTCAGCCAGGGCTTTTGAGGCTGAACCTTGGCTGGACTCAGCCTCTTTCTCTAATCCTCCTAGGGCAGGTACAGAGGAGGTGGCTCCTGGCCTTCTCCTATCACCCAGCAAGACCACCATGAGGAAGGGAACTGGTGTTGTTCTCAGAAGTAATAGCATGATGTCGTTTAGCCAGTTGGAAGACTGTCTTGCAAGGGGCCCACCACACGCTTGTTAGGCACCTGAGGTGTGAGACAGCTCCACATGTTCACCAGCCCAGGCCTCTTCATGTTCACCCAACTCTGCCTTTAGATCCTCCTCACTCTTGCTGGCTTTATTTCCTTCACTGTGTGGATGGACAGCATTGAGGACATATCCAGGAGTTGCAGGCTGTGGCAAAGTCTCTCCCATGTCTTCCCAGGAGGTATCCTGGCTGTATCCCAGAGCCTGGTTCCACAGTGGTAGGACGTCTTCAGGTGAACTGAGGGTATCCAGTAATCCCAGGTGTAGCCTGGGTACCAGGACACCCTCTGGATGCCAGGCCTCCCTCAGAATTTGTGCCTCTTGTCTGTGAAGAAGAACCTCCGGAACTTGTCAGGCTGGAAGGAAGGGAGAGGTGTTGGGGCCTGGGCTCCCCAGCAGAGAAGGAAAGACCCAGGGTCAGAAGCTCTTAGCTTGAGTCTAGGGTGAGGGCCCAAGCTGGAGAAATGACATCAGAATGCAATGCTGGCATGGCTCCCACAAGCCTCTCGAGGGCCCCAAAGCCCACTTTCGGCCTTCAAACTTAAGATGAGGATTTGCTTTTGGCTAATGAAGGGTAATGGGAAGAGAGGAAGGTAAAAAAGAGGTGGAAAATTCTGAAGAGCACTGTCTTCCCTATGTCCTGGGGTCCTTCCCTGAGGGAGGAGCTAGAGTGGGAGGACACAGCCCTGCCCTGAGGGAGGAGCAGGCCCTTGCAAGCCTTTGCTCAAAAGCTCAGGATGTCCAAGCCATAAGAGGGAAGTTTCAGCTTCCCAAACTGGAGGCTGTGTCTGCAGGAAGGGACCCTCCCATCCCTCTTGTTGGCAAGTATAGGCAGCTGAGGGATTGAGAGAGGGTTGGTGGGCTCAGCTGCCTCCCTGGGGACCCAGGAGTAGCCACCTCCCTCTGGTGTTCTTACCCACCCCTCCATGTTCTCCTCCTCTCTATCATGAATTCTCAGAAATAGTTACCCTATTCACCGAGAGCCACCTTGACAGTGTCTTGTCAAGAGAGAATGTGGGACACTTTCCTTGGGCAGTTGCCTTGGGCATAATCAGATGGTCAGCCCATTTTACAGACAAGGAAGAGAGAGCCTGGGTAGGGTTGCCAAGTAAAAATACAGGCTGCCCAGTTAAATCCGAGTTCTAGGTAAATAAGAAACCATTATGCACTCAGGAGACAGAAGCAGGCAGATCTCTGTGAGTTCGAGACCAGCCTGGTTTACAAGAGCTAGTTCCAGGACAGCCTCCAAAGCCACAGAGAAACGCTGTCTCGAAAAAGCAAAGCAAAGCAAACCTAACGAAACAAAAACCCTTATGATTTTTTGAGACATATTAAAACTATCGGTTTATGTACAATTCAAATTTAACTAGATGCCTTGTATTTTTATCTTGATGAATTTGGCAGCCCTGCCCATAAGGGAAATTGTCATGAACAAAGCCACAGGCTAGAGAGCTGCTTACTCATGACTAGGGCCAAGGGCCTCCTTGCTATCTCCCAGTGGTTCCCACAGCCCTGGGTTGTCATAGAGGAAGCTCTTGGGTGAGCTAGAAGCCTCAATTTCACCCCACAATCCAGCAGCTGCTTCTCTCACTTGTATATCACCAGGTGGAAAAGTTCTGGGCACTTCTGAGCAGTAAACTGTTGATGCTTGAGGACCATATATAGTTTCTCTCTGTATAGTTCTGGCATCCTAGAGTTCACTATATAAGCCAGGCTCGCCTCAAACTCACAAAACCCTTCCGGATTCTGCTATTCTAGTGCTGGGATTAATGATGTGTGCCACCATGTCTGGATCACCAGGTATTTTGTAAGGACCTGGCCACCCACCCCCTCAGGAACTCACCTTGTTCACCCGTCCAGTGTCCTTGTTCTTGGAGGCTGGGATTTGCTCATAGGTGTTCCCTGGCTCTGGGAGCTGAGAGGTCTCCATGATCTTCTCATAGCCACAGTCCATGGGCTCTGATAGTTGGCTGTATGTGGGATTGACTCCAGGGTATGGGAGCTTGGCAGTGACACGCCAGCAGGTTGGAATCTGCTCGTAAGTACTGCCTCCTTGGTTTGGTCTGTCCCTACCCTCCTGTCGTAGGCCTGCTGTCCCAACAAGCTGGTAGGTATCTATAGAGCTGGCCTCAGAGGAGGACTGAGCCTCGTGGCTCAACTTTAGAAACCCCTGTCTCCAAGTAGTAGGCTGTGACCCCAGGGCCTCAGAATTAGGGGGCAGGGGAAATCCTAAGGAAGTGTAAGGCGTGGTAGCATTCTGGTCTGTCTTCACCCCAGATGGAGCAGGCTCTGGGATATTGGGGTTGTTCTGGTCTTCATCTGAGAGTTTCTTTGAGGGTTTCCTGCCTGGGGAATGAGCCAGGGTGCCAGCTGGAGCTAGCCTGTGCCTGTCACACATCTCTGTGCCCAGGCCTTGCTGTGCCCGGTTCATCTTCTTCAGGTCTGCATAAACGATGTCACTGGGGCCTGCAGAAGGCTCATCCAGGAGAGAGGGACTTCTCTGAGGAATAGGAGGCACTCTAGTGGGTGCCTGGGAGAGAGGGACAGAGAATGCCTTTAAAAGCATCCCATTGTTACCGTGACCTCACCCCCTGAGCTGTCTTTATAAGCCTTCCCTCCCCTCTTTTGCTTCATATGTAAGGGTTGGTTCATGACCTTCATGTTTCCTGTCTCTATGATTCTAAGTACAGTCTTTTCCTTGGCATCCAGGGTAACCAGTTCAAGAGCCAACCCAAACTTAACCTGTCTGGTCCTCCTGCCTCTAGCATGGTCCATTGATCCCTCAGGTCCCCATGGGCCCATTCACTCACTGCTATGTACCCTTTCAGAGGAGTTTTATCCCAAGTCCATAGCTCATGGGTCCTTTCAACAAATATTTACTGAGTACCAGTACATGACAGGCAGTCTTAAGACCTGAGGATAGCTTGGGTTTACATTCTAATTTGGAAACCAATACCGTGGGGGCTGTGCTAAAGAGTGTACAAGGATTTGATGTAGCATGTGATATATGAATGCGTCATAGGTAGTTTCATGTCAGCTCATGACCAGTGCCGTGGAGAGCAAGGCAGATAGCAGTAGAGAAAATATCAAGTGGGAAAAACGACACGTGCTGTATTGTAGGTCAGGTGGCCTTTTTGAGGAGAGTACAAGTGATGTCACTCTGTGGTAAGAAGAGACCCAGGCAAGTTCAAAGGCTGATGGGCTTAAGGAAGATCTAGAAAGCCAGTGGGACCGTGGTGAGGAAGGGAAGGAGGTTCGGATACTGGAGAAGCTCTTGTAGGCCCTGGAGATTTTAGGTTTCATTCTGAGCATAAGAATTCCTTTGGCAGCTGGGTGTGGTGGCACACATATTTAATTCCTAGCACTCAGGAGGCAGAGGCAGGCAGATCTCTGTGAGTTTGAGGCCAGCCTGGTCTACAGAGTGGGTTCCAGAACAGCCAGGGCTACACAGAGAAACCCTGTCTGGAAAAACAAAACAAAAGCAACACTAAAACCAAATCCTTGGCATGCTGTGGTCTACGTATCAAGGACATTCACTGAGCCTATCCCATCATACAGACATCCCGTTTTACAGTTTACTAAGTGGTTTTTGGGTATCTCATAACTGTTCTCATTGAGGCCTCCCAAAAACATCAAGAATGGTAAATAGACTTAGAGAGTACGTGCCTCACACAAAGCCTCATGGAGAGAAAGCAGAAAAGTCTAGTCTAGGTTTGAGTGTTATCCATCTGACCAGGGCAGGCCATAGCACTGGTGAATCCCTGGGGACTGACACTAGGTTGTGCGTCTTACACCGTGGGCCTGATGCTCACCCTCTACGCCTGAAGATACTGCTCTGGTGGTTTCTAAGGACCTGACTGTGACGTGACCCCCACATCCCGGGCTAGCAGCCATCAGCTCTCACCTCCACACTCTCCTCTTTTGAGAGAGTCCAGGATCTCACATCTAGGCCTTTCTTGGTGTGCAGGAAGGAGACCTGAGGCTTTGAAGGAAGGCGGGGGCTGGTGGTCTTGTCAGCAACCACAGTGGGAAATTCCATGGCAGCTGGATTTTCCAGATTAGTCTGCTGGAGGCCCGTGTTGACAGCATCATACAGGTCATTTTCCTCTAGCTGGAGGCAGTGAGGATACATTATAATAATGGTCATATACTGGCAGCCTCCAACTGCCTGCAGGGACGGCAGAGGAACATCCCACTAGGTTTCTGGCCGTGGGTAAGGAACGTTGTTGATTGAGGGCCATGACTCCTCTGAGTTCCCTTGATAAGATGTGCCTGTGTAACTGCCACCCCAAGCCTGGACACCCTGTCCTACCTCCCTCACTCTGGGAAGAAGGGTGCCTACCCGTGGGCAAGCAGCAGCAAGGGTCTCCCCAAAAGGCTCAATCTGCACCTCCTGGTAATGGCGTAAGAGCTCATCCAGAGTGCTGTGGCTGAGGGTGTCTCCTGAGACAAGGTAGCGTCGATTTCGGAGCTGGTTGATGACAAAATGACGGCAGCGATCACTACCCCTGTAACACAATTACATGTGGGCTGGGTTGGGCTGCTGGCTGAAGGGGACCAGCTATGCCCCTGACTATTTCCATCCCAGACTCATCTGACCAACGGCTACCCTTCCCATGTGCATCTACGGTGTTCCCTGGGAATGGCGGGGACAGGGGGCTCAAATGTCTAGGGCCCTGGGAAGAACCTGAGCTTGTTCTTAGGGAGGGCAGAGGTGGAAGTAGAATAATTGGGACACTCATTGACACAAAACAAGGGAACCCCAAACCTTGCTCATGAGATTTACTATGCAATAATTTATCTCGTTGTTGTTGTTGTTGTTGTTTTATGTGGTACTGGGGACCAAACCTAGGGCCTCACACATGTTGTGTAAGTGCTGTAACACGGATCCCTATTTACTTAGCTATCTTAACTTTAAATCTTTTAATTGTTTACTCATTTATTCTTGACAGAAAATCTCACTTCATAACTCAGGCTGGCCTACGGCTATATGGTCCAGGTTGGCTTCCAACTCGGGTGGGTCCTCCTGCCCCAGTCTCTCCAGTGCTAGGACAATAGGTTTAAGCTACTATGCTTGGCTAATACGGTATTTCAGAGGCTCAAAATGGATGAAAAAGAGTAACAACCCATAAACATAAAAACGCTGAGGAAGGAAGTACCAAAGCCTCCAGTAAAGACACCATCCAACCCTTTACCATTCAGCATCACCCAGACTCATCCTCCAGAACAACGGAGCCTCCCCTCCTATAAAGCCCCACCCTCTTGATTTTTCTTTTATTTAATGGGAGAATGATTTAAACACAGAACATGGGTGTGGAACACAAATCATGGATATGCAGCAAGATGAATTTTTAGACATAAAAATGCCCGTGTAACCACATGAAGATCAGGATATAAAACCTTGCCTGGCCCCTCCCTGCCAGTGTCTGACCCTACTGCCATAGTTTGTTTTTTTCCTTTATGGAATTTCAAGTAAATGAAAATTATGAAAAAATCCTCATTTGTATCTCACTTCCTTCACTCAATGTATTTTTTTTTTTCAGATTCACTGAGGTTCAAGTAGATTAAACTTCTTCCTTTCAAAAGTTATGTGTAGAGTTCAAGATCAGCCTGGTCTAAAAAGAGCTAGTTCCAGGACAGCCTCCAAAGCCACAGAGAAACCCTGTCTCTACAAACCAAAAAAAAAAAAAAAAAAAAAAGTTATGTGTAGTGTCTCATCTGATAGAAAATCTATAGTCTGTTGGATATTTGGGCTGTTTCCTTATTGATGTTGTTATAAATATAGCTGTTATGCTTATCTTCTGTGAATGCATGTGCTAACTTCTACAGAATATGTCAAAGAGCAGCAAGAACAAGATGGATCAAAAGACATGTATACACACACACACACTTACACACATATACTCACATACACACACACTATACATACACATACATACATGGACACACATACATACACACACACAGACATATGCACACACATACACATATACATGCACACACATACACACATTCACACACATCTATTCTGGGAAGGTCATTCTCTTCAACCAAGCATGCTTCAGGAAGGACGCACATGTTGGGGTGAGGGAGGAAGGAGACACTCCATCTAGCCATCCAGACCATCAATAGGGTGACAGATGTTGCAGCCAGATTGCCTTCACATCCAAATTTATCAGTCTTTTATAGTGGGTGCTTTTTATGTCTAAGAAATTTTTGTTTATCCATTCATAGGCAGTTGGTTTGCTTATTGGAATGTTTTCTTGTTTCCTTTAAGAAAGGCTATGGTTTTCTATCTTGGATCTATGATCCTTGTATAGTCATTAATTTTTGCACCTTGTATATCCCCCCAATTTGGATATCACGTGCCTTGTGCCAATTATAGGAAAACCAGGAACGACAGTGAATGATGGGAATCAGGATGCTGACTCATCCCTGGACTCTTCTGTCCCTCTGGACTATTTCTACCTCTCTGAGCACCTCCTCTCACTGTTGTTTATAAGATGGTATTCTGCCTAAGGTCGAGAGAGAGAGAGAGAGAGAGAGAGAGAGAGAGAGAGAGAGAGAGAGAGAGAGACAGACAGACAGACAGACAGACAGACAGACACAGAGAGACAGAGAGAGACAGAGAGACAGAGAGAGACAGAGAGACAGAGAGAGACAGAGAGAGAGAGACAGAGAGAGAGAGAGACAGAGAGAGAGAGAGAGTCCAAGAAATACAGGATAAAGAAAAATCAAATCAAAACTGAAAAGATATTTGGAAAATGCTTGCTTATTATATTTCAGAGTGCCCAAAATAGTGTCTGGGGAAAAATGAGCATTGATCAATGATTACTATTTGTTTATCCCTTCCATGGTTTGTGCTCTCTGTGCCAGGCACTTTCAAATGCAGCATCTTATTGAGCACTTCCAATATTCCTATGGTATGACAGATAACTAGAATGTTCCTCTTTTACATATGAGACAGCAGAGGCACAGAGAGGCAAAGGAACTTCCTCTGGGTTAGGATCTGAACAAGGAGAGTCTGTGCATATAATTTGAATAAGAATCTGAAGACTTGGAAGTTTGCCCTGCAGCCCTGGCCTCCTTCCGGTCTCCAGAGAGAGCCTTCTACCTTCCCAACTCAGCCTATGTTCAGACCGGGATTCACAGCCATCACCTCTGACTTCCTACTAGGCCCATGTCTCCTCCTCTTTGGTCTCATAGCCTTACATTAGCAAGACCCAAGATCTTCATAGTCAAATATGTCATGGGTCCCCCACAGCCTTTACACCTCTGCACTATCTACAGTTCTCCCTCCTGGTGAAGTGACAGTCTCCTTGGATCCCTTCTCTGTATCAGAATCTCATACAAGGCTATCCTGTCCCCAGATACCCTGTATCCTGCTGCACCTAGAGACCTGGGGGCTCCCAAAATCTTGCACTTCTGTTCATGCCAGTCCATCTTCTAGAAGATCTTCTTATTCTTCTTCTTCTTTTTTTTTTTTCTTTTTTTTGGTTTTACGAGACAGGGTTTCTCTGTATTGTTCTGGAGGCTGTCGGTCCAGCCCGGCCTCGAACTCACAGAGATCCGCCAGCCTCTGCCTCCCGAGTGCTGGGATTAAAGGCGTGCACCACCACCGCCCGGCTAGAAGATCTTCTTATACCCAACCATGCCTCCTTCCCACCAGCAAATAGCTATTCCTCCTTCACCTGTGCCCAGCAGGAAGGTGTTTTATCTGCCTCCCCTCATCCCCTTGAAGGCCGCAGCACCGTCCTTGGCATATGTTCAGTGCTGCTGCTCAGAAAGGGTTATCCAAGCATGGGATGGATGAATCATGGAGTAGAGCCCCAGGGAAAACCAGACAGGGCTTTCTAGGCCTCCGTGTTTATCAGCAGGCTCTGCGTTATGGAGTCTCCTAGGCTGCCTGGCCCTGCATAAAGGGCTTCCCACTTACCTGTAAGACAAGATGTAGCCGACGGCCCGGTCACTGAGGCGGACAAGGAAGGAACCGAGAGCTTTGTCCCTGAGTAGCTGCTCTGTCTGCCTGGACAGAGGACATGCCATTAACTGGGGTTTGAACCTTCATAACAAGCAAGCAGTCTGAATTAGACCTGTCTCACGATCCTTGCAAGCCTTGGCCTTGGGCCCTAGATTGAGGCAGCCTTTTAGTCCTTGATAGAGAACCTTTTTAGAGCTCTGACTGGCTCTGAGGCCTCTCAAGGTACAATCCATGCTTGGTGCTGGCTCACCTGAGCAAACTAAAGACTCAGCCTGGAGTTGGATGTGAGTCCTGAGGCAGCTTCCCCTCCCCACTGCAGCCTTCCCAGCAGGTGCAGTAGACACTGCCTGCAGCTACCTGCTCTCCACCTGGATAAATACATAGTAAGAATGATGCCATGTGGCTGGAGACTTTTGCATTGGCAGGAACCCCTCTCTTGGGGCTAGGTGTACAGTTATGCAAGATGTATACTGCATAAGAGTTTCTGCAGCAAAGAACTGCTTGGCTATAAGAGAAGTTTACAGGAACTCACCTCCCACCCCCTGAATGTCCTTTTACACCATGCCAAATGTTTTGGAGGCACAGCGGAAAATTCTAGATTTTTTTGGCTTGGCAGAACGCAGACCATATATTTCCTTATCCACTTACTCGCCAAGTCAGAACTACCTTCGTAATTTGTAGGGGTCAGTGTCAAATGAATATGTAGAATCCCTTAAAGCAGGTGCAGGTCCCTGCTGAACACACAGCCTCATGTGATCCATACAACTGTCTCTGGTGTTGTGTGAGGCACTGGGCCAGGACCTGGTGGGCTTTGCCTCTCATTCCTTCCTCCATCTAGTATAGGGAAGCTTGGCAATCTAGAGCAACCGCAATGCCAAATCCCACAAAGCCCCTATGCCAGGGTAAGCATGTGTCTAGGCTTCCTGGCCAGTTTTCCAGTTTAGTGACAATAGCATTCCAGTGCTGGTGCATGGCAATCTTTTAACTTTTGCCAAGATACTCAGAACTCATCTAAACATGCCCAGCCCCCACAGGTCCACTTTCTGTCCTTCCCATAGCTGCAAAGACCCCACAAAGGAAATATCCTTCATCCCTGCCTCCAGAAGCTTCCTCAATCTGCCATCTCCACCCCTAGGGTCCTGCTAGTGAGAGAAAGGTCAGGAAGAGTTCCAGAATCCTTGGGTGATATTCTTTATCCTAAGGAACCGTGGGCCATGCTGGCCATGTTGTCAGGGGCTGTCTTACTTTCGGGTGATGAATCCATGAAACCAGGGGGGCAGAGCTCCATTCTGCAGGATAGAGGGTGCCTGTGTCTCCATGAACCACTTCAGAGCCAACTCCTGGATTTCAGCCAAGGCTTGCCCATCCCCTGCCTCCCCTATTGCCTTGTTCAGATGCAGTTGCTCTGGGCCGCCCTCCATCCTGGTGAGTGCTGATGGGAAATAAGTTCTGATGGGTGCAGTCCTTTATATCTGTATGTGATGGAGCTCATTTGCCTGAACCCACACCCTCCCCAATGCCTGCAGCACACAGGAGTCCTATTACCTCTGGACTGGCAGGTGCTTTTCTTGAAGCTTTGGGGCTGGGCGTTTTGGCTGGCTAGAGTCACTAGCAGGTGGCTACCACAGCAGCCTGGTAAGGGACAGACTGACTAGAGTCACTAGCAGGAGACAACCATAGCAGCCTGGTGAGGGGCAGATGAACTGCTGACTTTGGCCTCTTCTCAAAACCTCCAGTCTTTGCCTCAGCTGAGGAGTAGACACTGGCTGCAGTCACAGCACTGCCCCTGTTAGCAAAGCCCTGGATTTAAATTTGATGTATCCTGCCCTCCCAGAGGCTTTTAGTGTCTTGGTGGGGAAGTTCCATGCTGATTAATTTTCCCTTCCACTGTGGTTGTATCAAGTACCTACAGTGCACCATATAAATCTGGGAGCAAGGCCGTAGCATCTGGGAAAACATTTTTGTTGTTGTTGGTGTGAGTGAGTGAGTGAGTGAGTGAGTGAATGAGTGAGTGAGTGAGTGCGTGCGTGCGTGCGTCTGTGCGTCTGTGTGTGTGTGTGTGTGTGTGTGTCTGTGTGTGTGTGTGTGTGTGTCTGTGTGTGTGTGTGTGTGTGTGTGTGTATGTGTGTGTGTGTGTGTGTGTGTGTGTGTGTGTGTGTGCAAGCATGCAGGTATGTACCCATGCGTATGTTTGTGGAAGTTAGAGGTTGGTATCGGGTGTCCTCCGCTATCACTCTTCACCTGAGTTTTTGAGGCAGGGTCTGTCACTGAACTTGGAGTTGCTGTTTGAAGTAAACTCTCTGGCCCTGGGATCTACCGTTTTCTGCCTCTCAGTGTGTTCAGCTTTTATGTGGGTGCTGGAGCTCCAAATTCAGGTCTTCATGCTTGTGAAGCAAGCACTTGACCTACTGAGTCATCTTCCCTGTCCTGGAGAAGAACTCATTACTAATGGAGGTAGACAGACAACACATGTTTGTACATATATGTGGAATACCGTGCCGGACATACGTAGTCTGCAGGAGGCAGGGAGAAGAAGACAGAGCACGTGGGCTGCATGTCATGGGTTGGAGTCAGTCTTACCCAAGAGTGACAGTGGGTGCTTGAAGGAGGAAATCAAGCACCTGGGGGAAAGAAACGCTGTTGCCATGGGGAAAGTAAGGGCAAAGACAATATGTTTGGGTCAGTTTAGGGCAGTAGAACACTGTGTTCACACAAATATTCCCGATCTCCAGTGTCAGCATTCCACAACAGAAACAGAGGCTGGAGGACACTGAATCAGCAGAAGCAATCAGTCCTCCCCTACCCCACCCTAAACACGGATTAGACTCTCCCTCCCATCACAGGGGCAAAGGAGATCAGAAGGTTGCTGAGCCATTGGTGATATCTGTTTGTTCATACACCGGACATAAGAGGTTACTGTTTAGACTCTGAGGTCATTAAGATGAGTAGGAACAAAATGGTAAAGAGTGAAAGATCATTTACATAAATTCAAAACAAAACAGAACTAATTGATGATGCCAGAAATTAAGAACAGAAGCTATAGTGGGGGAGAGAGGAGAGTTTAATGACTTCCAGGAAGGGACCAGGAGCCGTCCAGTGCTGGTATATTTCCACTTTCTGATCTTGGTGGCATGCTCACTATGAAAATTCATGGGGCATAGTTTATGTTCTTTGCTAAGTACATGTTCTATTTCAATAGAAACCACTTACTGAAAAAGGAGAGGATACCACAGCCACATATCCATGGTTCACATTGGCTTGATAGCTGTGTGACCCTTAATCAAATGTTATGACTTTTCTAACTCTGGTGTCTTCATCTTTGAAGTGAGGATAATAATATGACACGTATATTAGTTGATTTTACATTGCTACAATGAAGCACCCAAGGCTGGGTGCTTTGTAAAGAAAAGAGATTTATTTAGTGCATAGTTTTGGAGGCCAGAAGGCCAAGACTGGGTAGCTCCACCCCTTGGGGCTCTGACAGAGGCCTCTAGCTATTTCTCAAGATGGTGGATGCTGTCATGGAGGCATAATTGAGAAGAAACAATCACATGACCAGGGAGGACCAGATTAGCTCTTTTATAATAACCCACTCTGTTTAGAACTTTCTAGAATTCCATGGAAAACAGAAATAATTAATCCCTTCTGAGGACAATGCTCCCCAATGATCTGTCTTCTTCCAAGCCTCCTTCAGGGTTCTACCACCTCCCAACATGGACACTCTGAGCTTCAAGCTCCCAACACATAACCCCTTAGAGGACAAACCACATCAAACTACTGTAGCAGCTTGTCATTTCGAAGGTCAACTGAGTTAACTCCTTTGAAAAGACTTTGAAGTGAAATAAGCAATTTGGATGAGCCATTGCTTGATAATGCTGCCAGTGATGGTGGTGATAAAAAGCTTCATAAGTATGGAGTAGTCTCTTCCTGTTGGGTAGACTATTGTTTTTTTAAATAATTTTTGTATTTTATGTGCATTGGTGTTTTGCCTTCATGTATATCTGTGTGAGAGTGTCAGATCTTGCCAGGTGAGCTGCCAGGTAGGTGCTGGGAATTGAACCCAGGTATTCTGGAAGAGCAGTCAGTGTTCTTAACTGCTGAGCCATCTCTCCAGCCCTAAACTATTATTATTACTACAACTTCATTATGAGTCATCTCAAGTCTAACATAAAATGTGTTAATGGAGGGGTATGGCAGTGCACACCTGTAATCCCAGCACTAGTCAGGCAGAAGCAGGAGGATTGCAGATTTGAAGCCAGCCTGGGCTCCATAGCAAAGGTCAGCTTGAGACCAGCCTGCGTCTTATAGCAAGACCTTGCCTCAAAAACAAAACAAGAGCCTGGGAAGATGACTCAGTGGTTAGAATCAGAACAGCCCTTGCTGTGGGATCTAAGTTTCACATTCAGCACCCACATCAAACTGCTCTCAACTGACCGTAACTCCAACTCAAGGGGGTCCAGAACATCCTCCTCGGGCCTGTTTAGGTACCTATACTCAGGTGCACATACCCACACACAGACACATATACATAATTAAATATGGAATTAAATATTTTTCAAAGATTTATTTATTATGTATACAGTGTTCTGCACACACATGCTGGCAGGTCAGAAGAGGGCACCAGATCTCATTATAGATGGTCGTGAGCCACCATGTGGTTGCTGGGATAGAATTCAGAACCTCTGGAGGAGCTGCCAGTGCTCTTAACCTCTGAGTCATCTCCCCAGCCCGGAATTAAATATTCTTTCTATGTAGCCCTGGCTAGCCTGGAACTCACTATATAGAGCAGGCTAGTCTCACACTCACAAAAACTGACCTGCTTCTGCTTTTCCAGTGCTGGGATTAATGGAGTATACCACTATGCCTGACTTTGAAATAGCATCGTATGGAAAAATGTGTTTGGGCGTATGTGGGACGCATCTGGTCTAGTGGGAAGGCAGGGGCATGGAGCAACCTGAACCTGGGGGTTCTTTCTTTGCCTCTCAGCCTGGTCTTCCTCATTCCTACAAAGAGTTACCTCTCACGGGCGGCTCTCAGCACAGGGACAGGCACGTGGCTACACAGCAAATGTTCCCGGAGAGTCAGCTACCCAGAACACTGATTTTTATAAATTACTAATTTCCAGCCTCCACAATGAGAGTGTCAAAAGAGGCCACCAGGAATGAGTCATTATTTCTGAGCATGTTCTTTGGTCTCCCCATCTCGGACGAGCTAGAGAGATCCTGGGGTCTGTAGTCTCCAGAATTAGAATTATCTAGAATGTAAGGTTGGGGAGGAACGAGATTCTGTCTTCATTTTCCCTAACTTTTCATTGAAATCCAGTATCTCCTTCCTGGTGAATACAGACAATAAACCCCATTAACATTAGCAGCACCTGTCAGTTCATCACCAACGGAAGCCACAGATATTTTCCTATCTCATGACAGCAGCTGCAGACATGTGGACAGACCTTTTTCCACATCATATCTGTGTTATAAAAATTCAACCCAATGCTAGATCTTGCTTTTTAGCACAGTTTGCAAACACAGTGCTAGTGCTACCCCAATATTCTACGGTGACCCTATTTCCACATAATTTAATCCTACTGTTCCTCTATAGGTCCAATTTTGTGCATTAAAAAATATCCAAGAGGCACATAAGGCTCAGCAGATTTTCCAGAGGCCCATGGCACCATAAAAGTGAGAATTCTGGGGTCCAACCCAGAGCTGGTTTGCTGCCAAAGTAATGTCCTGGAAGTATTCAAATGCAAAGAAATATACTGCTTTCTTTTTCCATGAGGCACCCTCATTCCACCACCTTTTATGCTGGATACATTTACGGGCAGAACCTGCTCATTTTCATAAGAAGACAAAGGCTTTTTTGTACAAAAAGGAACAGATTCCAGATGGCTGTGGATCAGAGGTGACAATTCTGAAAGTCAGGCAAATAAGGAGAGCTCTATATTTATGCTCAAAGGAAATATGGGGCTGAGGAGGGGCAAATCCTGGGTTTGGAGAGAATTGCGTATGCTATGCAAAGGATTATGGGTAGGAAAGAATTTTTCAGAAAGAACCCTGCACCCCATTGTTCAGTTCACCACATGTGGCCACCTGGAGGATGCTGGGCCCTGGGTGGAGAGAAAGTTGTGGAGTAGTCCCCTTCTTTTCCACCCTAGGTGTGGGGAGGGGTCTTAAAAGGTAACAGGCTCTGGGATCAGACTAAATGGCTCAAAATGTCATCTCCCAGTGGCTGGCTCTGCAGTATCACTGTGTCTGTTTCCTCATCTATAAAAAAGGAGTGGGTAGCCAAGCGCTTGCTGAACAACCATGAGGACCTGAATCTGGAACCCTCCCATCAAGTAAAAACTGGGTGTCGGGGTTTGTACTTGTAACCCTAGCTTTGGGGAGGTAGAGTCAGGAGACTCTCTGGCAGTCACTAGCCA